TCCAAACAATGACCATTAAAGTAGTCCATAAATGTCTCACTGTCTGTACAATTCAAAAAGAAACTAGGATCAAACAACAAAGAAAACTTTACAAGTGCATCCTGATTAACAAAGCGTTTTTGAGCCAGCACTTTGCGGACAGAGGGCGTAATGTTATGTAACAAATTGAAACGAACACAATAGTGATCGCTCATTTGCATGTCATCAATACTTAAGTTATCAATGTCCAAGCCTAAGGAAAAAACCAGGTCTAAAGTATGGCCTTTATTATGGGTAGGACTATGAACGTACTGGTGGAAGTTAAAAGATTCCATAAGAACTAAAAAATCTACCGCCGCCCCACAGGAAGGGTCATCGACATGAAAATTAAAATCCCCGAGAAGTAAAGCACTCTCAAACTTAATGATGGATGATAAAAAGTCAGAAAACTCCTCTATAAACAATCGTATAGAGCCTGGAGGTCGGTAAATCAAGATACAATAAAATGGGTCAGTGTGTCCAACCTTACTCATTTGAAGCTCAAACAAGCTAAAACTATCCATGTTCATTAGCCTGCAATGAAAACGGCTCTGGAAAAGGAGCGCAAGACCACCTCCTCGCTGCGAAACCCGCGGGGTCCCAAACACGGAGCAGTCCGGAGGACAAAGTTCCTTCAGGTGGGAGTAGTCTTGCTCCCGCTGCCAGGTCTCCGTCATAAACAAGAAATCCAAACATTCTCTGATTGAAAAAGTCATTCAGGATAAACGCCTTGTTATCACACACTGAAGTTCCGAGACTGAACTGTTCGTCCTAAAAAAATATCGTTGGACTAGAAGGTCGAAGTGACACTTTATTTTATGACTTGATTCATTTCACTATGTGTAAATTTCTAGTTTTAATTGTCAAGTAAATATAAAGGACCCAAAGGATAATATTTTCCTGTTTATTGTAGTAAAATATTGGAGCCAAAATTAAGTGTTAAAGATTTAATATGTGTTATAATGTAGGTCCAGTCTTGACTATGTAAGGACAACCAATTCCATGGCTGTGGACACGTGTTTTCAGATGTGGGTGCCGTTGTGAACCACACAGTTTGAGGACGTCCCTCATACAACAACCTTAATGCAGAGTGTGGGAATCAATAAGAGGTTCTGAGATAGTATTTCTGTAATTTATTAAACAAACCATACAATAGAATAAGACAATACCAGTATCTTGATCATGAGATCACACACTCTGTGCAAAGAGTCAGTGAGTGACAAAGGAGAGAAGTTCCAGTCAGGTTTTGTATAACATCTGTCAATTACAACCCACTAGCTGGAACCAATCAGAAATGTGTCTTTGGTACATGGCCTTCATAGGTATCTTCTAGATAGGAAAGTGGGGGCCAGATGGTTGGGCTGTGTAGGTAACAGGCTGTGTGTGTGTCAATAGAGACTGGGCCTGTGTTTGTGTATATATCTGTGGAGACTAAATCTGTGTGGAGTCTGGGAGACAGAACTGTTTGGGAAAACTGTCTGAGAGGAAAAGAAAACAAAGTTATACAACACAAATACATAGATAATATGAACATTTAGAATACTGAGCAGATAGCATATGTATAATATGGAAAAGTCAAGGTGTGTGGCTGTTGATTAGTGGTGTGTATCTAAGAACGATTTGACATGACATTTCACAACATAAAATATAAACCACATTCCAGAAGATTACTGCTAATTAAGACTGAACCGAATTTGAAGTCCAAAGTCCACAATTTACTACTTCTTGAAAAATGTAGGAATTTAGGTTTGCTCTATATTCATCTGTCATTGTGCTGAAAGTTGCTATGAGAGGGTGTAGATGAGAGAGAGCTGCAGAGCTGCCAAAGTAATAACCAAGCATTTAACAGCCTGAGCTAGACATCCTGTCTACTCTAAACATTTCTAATACATCAAGTATCTAACCAATATCTATATGACTAAAAATACCTAACATTACTTTATAAGCTTTAGTTACTTCTCATACCTTTAGTTCCCTTTAGTTACCTTTCATAACCTTATTTTCCTTGTTTATACACATTACAGCTATATTGATTATTGTGCAGAACTACTGAGCTTTGGTCACTTTCTAATACATTTATTCTCCTTGCTTATATGTCTTACAATTGTAATGAGGTAGAATCTGCTTGCTTTCTGCAACTTCTGAATGTCTGCATCCCCCAGGCAACCAGATGTTTGTGTGAGTGACGGACTTTTCTGTCAGTGTACAGGATT